CGGCCCCACGGCCGCTGCCTGGCGGGCACAAAGCCTCACCAGGGCCACCCGTGCTCAGCCCTGGCCTTGCCGAGCAGAGGGGAGCAGGCTCTGCTGGGCAGCACAGCAGCCAGTGTCATGCCACAGCCAGGAGAGCATCCTGCAACTGTGTCTGGCTCAGCACCCTCCTCACTCCTCATGGCCCCCATTCCCAGGGCTGTGCCCTCAGGGACCCCCTTTGAGCACATGGCAGACAGGAGCTCACACGGTGGCACATGAACTCACTGGCTCCCAGCACCAGTTCCCTCTGGCGCTGTAGGTGCAGAGTGTGGATCACACCAAACTGTTGCTCCACTCTGTGCCAAGCACACTGTGGATGCTGAATGTTCCCAGGATCAGCTCCCAGGAGGAGCAGGGGACTGATCATGGCACCTGCCAGGAGAGGCGTGGGGCAGCACTGGGACTCTGGCACTTGTGTTTTGGGGCCCAGCTCTGAGTGGGGGCAGGGAATGGCTCCACTACACCAGGACTCCTGTCAGTCCCCTTGCAGAGACCCCTCGACCTGACTGGCTCAGGCTGGGGGGCACAAGCCCCAGGGGTGCTGCTCCGGGGTGTTGGAGTGGGGGGGGTGGCAGGGGGCACAGATCAGGGTTTTTCTGAGTGTTTCTCTCCTCTTGTTGCACAGTTGTATGAGCTGGACGGTGACCCCAGGAGGAAGGAGTTCCTGGACGACCTCTTCAGCTTCATGCAGAAGCGAGGTGAGTCCCCCCTGCTCCCCCCACCACTCCCCTTGGGGCCAGGGGCTCATTTCCTCGCCCCTCGTTACAACCCTGAGGTCACCACTCTGGCCTGGCTGCTGGTTAATTTTTAACTTCTTTGCGCAGCAGGGTCAAACCTGCTGGGCTGGATCTGGTGCCTGTGGCCCCCCCGCACCAGCCCCACTCCCCATGGCATCCTGGACCTGTGGCCCCTTCCCCACAGGCTCCTGCCCCTCCTGGCCAAGCCCCTGCCTTTGCTTCCCCCTGTTCTCCCTCCCCCAGGTCCTTGCAGAGGGTGAAGACCCCACTGCCTCCTGGCCCTGCCCAGGGGGTGGGCACAGGGGGGTGGGAAGGACTTGAAAGTGAAGCGTTCGCCCAGTTGAGGGTCTGGTTCTGTGGAAAACAAGGCTGGAAATGCTGACGCGCGGCTGCCCTCCGCCTTTGTCCTGCCTGCACTGGGGGAAGCACGTGTGTGGGTGTGGGGGGCTGGGGGCTGCTGGCTGGGCCCCCCCTCAGCCCCGCACCTGCTGGAGCAGGAAGGCAGAGACCCCCGAGGCAGGGAGATGCTGCAGCCCCTTCCCTGTCGCTGGAGGGGTGACCCCCCCGGTGACCCTCACGCCGGGAAGCTCTGGCGCTGTTATAAATAACTCCCACTGCCGGGCGCTGCCGACCTCAGCCTGCGAAACCGCGCTGAAAACAGCGAGTTTCTGTTTCCTTTGTGCGTGGGGCTGGTGCTTGGCAAGGCCGGGGGTCCCGAGGGGAGGGACCAGCAGGAGCCCCCGGGCCCCCACGCCACTCGGGGGTCTTGCTGACTTCCCCCCGCTTTTGCCGGGGGTGAGAAGGCAGCACCCAGACCCAGTCTGTCCTCCCCAGGGACCCCTGTGAACCGGATCCCCATCATGGCCAAGCAGGTGCTGGACCTGTACATGCTGTACACGCTGGTGACGGAGAAGGGTGGCCTGGAGCAGGTGATCAACAAGAAGCTGTGGCGGGAGATCACCAAGGGGCTGAACCTGCCCACCTC